AATATGAGCTCACATTGCGAACTTCGGTGAGGATTTCTTCCATCTGTTTCTTGTGCGCAACTGAAAGCTTTTCTTTTTCTTTCCCGTGTACGATTGAGGCCATTTTGCGCTCTTCAAAAAATTTCTTGGTGTTATTGGCTGTGGTCTCCTTCACACGTCGGTCCTTTTCAGCCTTATTCTTTATGCTTTTGTCATTGGCAATTTCTCGAGACGTCTCCAGCGACTTCTTCACGTGTCTCGCTTTCATCTCCTTTATTTCCCTACGCGGAAGTGAAGATAAACGGTATGTGTAGCACAGCGAATTCAAAAATTACATGCGTGGGTTGAGATTCCTAATCTGCAATAGTAACTCGGAAGCGCATTTTACTATGTAGTGCTTTTCAAAATCATATTTTCAAGGGCAGCTGAGCAGCGTTAAAATTGAGCTTTTCCTGGTCCTTGAAGCTTCATCCGAGTTTTCTTCATTTTTTTAAAGCTCGCTGATTTGATTCAAGATGCTCACTTTTCATGCTTTTCATCAAGCATACGCATTTCATTTTCGTGCGCGATTTCGATCAATTTGGTGAGAACCTCTTCTTGCTGCTTGAAGTGCACTTTCCGCAGTTTCCACTCTTCTCGGATCTGCTGATTGCTCATCGCTGTCCACGTCTGCACTTGTTCACCGAGGATACCGTTGACTTGTCTGTCATCCATCGGATTCTCTCTTCAATTTTTCAAAAAACAGAAAAATCCGCACATCAAGTTAAAATTGTCACTTCATGAAACATGGATTTCAGGAAAATGTCTAAACTTCGCGCTTGCTCTTCTCTGATGCAAATGCATGGATTTTTAATATTGCGCAAAAAGAGACTTGGACAAACAATACATATTAGCTTAAATTGCATGAAATACAAATGATAAGAAAAACATGAATACTGCATTAAAAAAAAATTCCTTGCACGACATAAAGCGGCTTTTGTTTCTGTCAAATTAATCTTTGTTCGGCAGACGTTTAGCAATGTGTACGAATGCATTCTTTTCAAATTTGTTTTGCGTTTAGAACGATGAGGAAACGTAAAAAGCATTGAAAATCAAAATAATTTAAACTTCACAGAAATCTTTGGTCTTCGGGGCAGTAATTCAGCATAGAAAAAACACACATATCTTGAAAATGTACTCCAGTGAAAAACTCATTATCCATCTCATAAATTGAACGAATGGTCGTTTAAAATCATGAATGGCTTCACCGTGGATTTCAGTGAAAACTGGATTTTTGAATTCTAAATTTCGTTCATTCATCAGCGCATGAATTGAATGAAACGTTAACAAATGAGGACCAATGTGTTCTTGATTTTTTTCTGCTCTAAGCAGCACTTTCTAACACAGTCCTGATGGTCATAAACTTTTATTGTATTCAATGCCACATGTGTTTTATCATCAATTTAAATATGAAAAATACAGACTTTTTCACTTCGGACTATCGGAGTAACTCATTGGTTACCGCTCATGATTTGCGTGTTTAACATTCTGGCTGTTACTTCCGACCTAAGTTACGCAAACATGGCCTAAATTGATTAATTCAAAAGAGGAAATTCAGTTTATTCTCGGATATCTTTTCTTGTGGGAACATTGAAACAATATCAGCAATTGCACTTATTACTCAACATACTCCCACAGTTTATCTCTTCATATCCAGCCTGTATAGCAAAAAAAAGGACAAGTATGATGAATGCTACCAGGCAATGCAGAAGAATCAACGCAAGGGCAAATGAGTAGTCGCATAGCCTACGAGTCAACGGATTAAATGCAGTACACACGTAAAATCACATTAAAAATCTA